GTCATTTCTATCAAGATTATACATGACCATTAATTCATTAATCACCCCTATTCTCTTTTCGGCTTTTAAATCGGGAACATCCGGTTCTGGCATCTTTCATTCTCACAATTGTAAAATATCATGTCAATGATAACCCTTTTTTCAAAGGTTAATAATATAAGAAGGAGATATCTTTCTCCACTCTGCTAAATCATCGCCAATACACGTTTTTTTGGGTTCTGGGTCAGAAGTAGTTAAATTAGCCTCATTCAAATAAGGGCAATTGCTTTCTTCTTCGCTTGGCTGGTCGGGAGGGGGATTACCCTTTTGGGGTGGGGCGGGCTTTTCCTCCTTAGAAGGTTTATCACTAGGGGAATTACTATTTTGTTTTGAATTATTTCTAATAATTAGAAAACTACTACCAACTAATAAAGTTATAATAATTATTCCACTAGTTATCTAGTTATTAAAATTATTGTTTTTTTTTTTTTTTTTGCTGAATTGCCATAACTCATTCACAATTATTTGCCTTTTGCTTTCTTGGCTCCATAAAGGGAACGACCTTGTTTGCGGTCTTTTACTCCTTCGGTATCAGCATGGCCACGAATAACATGGTATTTTACTCCGGGCAAGTCTTGGGCTCCACCACCACTAATTAAAACTGAGGAATATTCTTGAAGATTATGTTTTTCACCCGGGATGTAGACCGTAATTTCTTTTTTGTTTTTGAGAATGATCCGTGCGTAAGCTCGATTAGCAGAATTAGGTTTTCTTGGTTTTAATACCCCTATTTTCTTACATATCCCCGACTTTTGGGGATTATTAGAAAGAGAATATTTTTTTTTTCGTGAATTTCAATTAACTTTCAAGGCCAGCAGTTTTGATTTTCTTTGCTTGGAAGTGCGGGGATTTTTAACTAATTGATTAATAGTAGGCATATATAATATTATTTTTAGACAGCAATAACATAATCTTATCTTTTCACTAATCTATAGCCCTCTTTGTTATAACTTAATTTTCCTTTATTATCAAGCAATTCAACCTACCTATTTTCAGTAGGAGCCACACCATTCAAGCCTCCAATTGTTCACTATTTTCCTTAGTTAATGCTTCCTTTAACTCCATTAAGACTTTATTAACTTCAGCCTGATTTTCTTAGTAAATTTTGATAAAAGGTTTATTTTTGGCTTCATTTATTTCTTGTTCAGCATTAGAAATATCAGAGTCATCTAAATTCATGTTTTCTTGCAACCTATTAACCAATTGAGAAAAAACTACCAGTGCCTTATTTATTTCTTCTGAAAGAGGCAAAGTCTTGTTAATTGAAATTAAATCTGCCGAAGTTTTCTTTAAATTTTGGTAATTTCTTTCTAAGTTAGCGAAATCTTGTAAAAACTAATTGTGAAAACAATTTCCGAGTTTCTGGTCAAGATATCCATTCAAAAAAAACTATTTAATTTTGGTCTCAATGGTAATGAGGTGGGCGGTTGTGATGATTGTCTAATCGCACTTGCTCTTGGGTATTATCTTTGTTAACAGCCATCAAACTAAATTTGTAATCATCTGGATATTCTTACTTTATTGATACCAGGTAGATAGACCAAACGAACTTTAACAATAATTATTTTGTCCGAGTTAGTGCGAAATTCTTCTTGGCGATCCAAAAGTATTTCGGACTCTATTCACATAACTAATTTTTATGTTTATTTAAACTTCCTCAATTTTGCTAGATGTAAACAATGAAAACCTTAACTGCAGATTTTGTAAATTAATTACTCAATTAGAAAATGGAGTTTTCTTTCTTTCGCCAATTTTTGTAATTTTTTGAAACTTTCTATCTTTAATCGACGAGTCATATTTTCCGACTTACCCAGGATTTTGCTGATTTCTGCAAAGTTGTAATTTTTGGTGAATAATGACAAATAATTTTTCACTAAGGGTAGACTGTGAATTTTTTTTTCTTCTAAGGAGTATTTTTGCAACAATTCTAGACTAGATTTGTTGTTTAATTTCATTTTTTTCTTTAATTCCTTTTTTTCTTCTTCGGTTGCTAGATAATAAATATCCAACAAATTGGAGGGTTTTACCTTAAAAAGAAGACGAACCAACAAAATCGCTTCTCGGTTTTCTAAGGTGTTAATTAGATGATTAGTCTGAATTACCGTATCCCGGTGGCGAACCTGTTCGGCAGTTAACTCGGCATTTTCGTCATCATGCAAGGTTTCTAATAGTGAGTAGGTTTTACTTTCCTTGTCATCGTTTTGATAATCACTGTCATAATAAATTACACTTTTTTTTTCTTTAACTCCACCCCCTTGGTTAATAAATTGGTTTTTGTTAATATAACTCTGAATGTATTGCTTAATTCAATATCCAGCATAAGTAGCAAAACGATTTTTGCTGTTTAAGTCAAACTTTTCAATGGCCTTGGGGAGAGAGGAAATTCCTTCGGCAGTCAATTCCTCTGGGTCAACTTTTCCACCAAAAGAGGAATATCCTTTGACAATATACTTGACCAAATTTTGATTATAGTGAAGTAGGAACCGAATGGCTTTCTTGCCTTCATTGACTTTTTTCTCTCCCAGTTTTTGTAATTCCTTTTCTTTTTTCTTTAATTCATTTTTTAATTCTTCAATCTCTTCTGGAGTTTTTTGCTTACTTTTTATTTTTTTGTCTTTTTCGTCGATTTCTTTTTGTAGACTACTAATGGCTGAGAAAATTGCTACTACCGGTTTGGCCGCTTTTAGTAATTCCTTTTCTTTCGCTGGTTTAAGGGTAAAAAGTTTATTCATAATTTAACAGAAATTTTCTAATATTATCTAATTCTTGCACCGCCATATTAGTAATTTTTCTTTTTTGACCACTGGAGATGGTAGAAGTCAAGTTGTGACTACTATCAAACTCATTCAAAGGATACCTTTCTAAATAAGAATGGTTAGAAGAGGAGGATATATAATAATTATAGATATCATGATACCTTACTCGGTTAGTTTTAGTTAAAAAAAATTGAACTTTTTCACTGGCAAATATTCAAAAAACACGTTCCTTGGCACACAAATAAATTAATTTTTTTTCTTTTTTTTCAATTAGTTCTCGTCCGTAATTGATTAGTAAATAATGAGGGTGAAAAGCCGGGAAATGTCATTGAATAAAATTAGGTTCGATTTCTTCTTTTTTTCAACCGGTTAAGGAACTTATTTTGGTAATTAAGAAGTCAAATATGCTAGGTTTGAACTTGCGAAAGACTTCGGCTATTTCATTGACAAAGCGACTGGTTCTTTGGGGGTTATCTCCAACTTCTCATTTGGTAAAATAATGGTGGAGAATAAATAAATAAGGGTTTTCGCGGTTTTGGAGTATATTTTGAATATTTTCTTTGTCCTGTTTTCGGCAGATTTCATCCGGGTCGCCCGAATAATTATTTTTTATTATTTCACAATCAACCTCCCGCAATAGCAGTTTCACGGCTACATTAATGGTAGCCTCTTGCCCGGCTTGGTCGTTGTCTAAAAAGAGAATAATTCGTTTTTTTAACTCAATTAGCAGTTTAATTTGCTCTTCTGACAAGTTGGTTCCCAGCAGAGCCACACAATTTTCTACCCCTACCTTGCCCAAACTAATGACATCAAAAAATCCTTCCACCAAATAACACTCTTCCGACCGCATTTTTTTTGCGGTTGGGTAATTATATAGTAAGGAGGATTTTTGATAGTATTGATAACTAGGCAGGTATTTATATTTTCCCTCTCCGGCAGGTATTTCCCCAATTTTCCGAGCCGCAAAAGCCACGATTTTCCCTTCGCTGTTGGCTAAGGGGATAATTAAGTGCTGGGTAGGGAAAAAATCGCAAACTCGGTTATCTTTGGTTATTCAGACCAAATTAGTGGCTAATAAATCCTCGGCGGAAAAATTATCACTTTTTTGCGAAAAAAGTAAATTACTTAATTGCCAATTGTTAATGCTACTTCCTAAACCAAAACGGTCAATCGTTTTTTTATCCAACTGACGCTCATTTTGGAGATAATTTAATACTTCCCGACCTGGTTGGATAAGTAAATTATGCTGATAAATGTCATTGATTAGCAAAAGTAAGTAAAAGATTTTATTTTTCTCTTTTTGTTCTTGCTGTTTTTTCTCCCGCCAAATTGAGAGGGGAAAATAGCCCATTTTTCCAATTTCTTCTACCGCTTCTTCCAAGTTAATTTTCTTATACTGAGCCCAAAAACTAAATATATCGCTGGCCTTAAAGCCACAAGTAAAACAAGTAAATATTTTGCGATTAGGTTCAAAACTACAACTGGGATTTTTATCACTATGAAAAGGACAGAGAAAGAAAACACTCCTTCCCATTTGTTTCAAACTGAGGTTTAATTGTTTAGTTAGTAAATGAAGGATATCATTAGTGTTTAATAAGTCCTTATATCTCATTAATAAATTTTAGATAATTGACCTCATAGTGGTTTAAAAATTTAAAACTTAATTATATAGTTAGTAAAAAAATATTTTAAAATAGCATTATTATAAGGATGATAAAATTGCCAACAATTAAATTAAAAAAAAATAGAATGGAGGTCATAAACTTCCTAAATTATTGTAATAAAATCACAAAAATAATAAAATATAGTAGACCTTACATTCGAAAAAGGAAGCAAGTTAAAATAAAATAGATTTATAAATGCCGGAAAGTAGTTTAGCCAAAGAAAAAGATTTAACCACCTATCTCAAACATTATGGATTTTTTTTGCCGAATGCGGAAATTTATGGTGGTTTAGCTAAGTCCTGAGATTTAGGACCCCATGGAGCCGAATTAAAAAGAAATTTAAAAAATCTGTGGTGAAAGTATTTTATTACTTCCAGCCCTTATAACGTGGGCTGCGACAGTCAAATAATTACTCATCCGCAGATTTTAGAAGCCTCCGGTCATCGCAAGAATTTCCATGATTGATTAGTAGAATGTCGTCCGTGTCGCAAGAGGTATCGGTTGGATAATTTAATTAGTGCCGAGGAATTTACTATTTTTTTGGAAAAGCAAGACAAAAATAGTTATTCAGTGAAAATTAATTGCCCGCATTGTGGCAAAAATGATTTTCATCCCCCTCGCCAATTTAATTTGCTGCTAACCACTAATTTGGAAATTACAGAAAGCAAAGCGAGTTTGGTTTATTTACGACCCGAGACTTGCCAAGGGATATTTGTTAACTTTCCGGCGATTCAAAGAAGCACCCACCGACAACTACCTTTTGGTATCGGCCAAATTGGCAAGAGTTTTCGCAATGAAATTACCCTCCACCACGGGATTTTCCGCACTCGTGAATTCGAGCAGTTGGAGTTAGAATTTTTTTGTCAAAGTGAAGAAAGCGAAAAATGGTGAAAATATTGAACGGAAAAGGCCTGAAATTTCCTCCA